CTAGCTTCCTGGCTTCTTGGCTCCTGAGATTGGTGAAGATTATACAAATTATCTAGTTTTCCCATTTCACTGTAAACTCAACACAGAACCTACACTCATGCACTTAAAAACAATGCCAGACTTACCAAATCCAAGATTGTAAATTAAATTGAACACAGCAAAAGAAAAAAAAAGAGAGAGATTGCTTGATCGCATCACAGATCTGATATAACTAATCTAGAACAGGATGAATTGAATGCAGAATGCAAAAATTTAAAGAAAAAGAGCAATTAAACAACAACAAAAAAAGAAGAGGTAAATTGAAAGGATTACCTGCCCAAACCGAAGAGACTCATGGCTGCAACTGCAAATAAAGCTTGATCTTCCTTCCTCCCTTCCTTCAGGTGAATACCGGGACAAGGTCTATGTACTTTTATTTGTTTTTCTTTTAATATTGTTTACGTAGGTTTTATTTAAAAAAAATATTTTAGGAATTAGGATGATGCAAAAGGGGTTTTGTACCTTGTGCTTTGAAGGTAGTACTTCAGAGTTTTTCTTAATTATTTATTTATTTATTTTCAAAGTGTTACGGCATCAACTTTTAATTACCACACTATTTCCTCTTAATGTGATCTTAAAGGGCACGCATAACTGACAGTAGTGTTAAAAAAAAAATTAGTTTTCTTGGGTTAGATAAAGGAATAAGCCGTTGGTTTTATTATTAATATTTATATAAAAATATAGCATGTTTGAACTCAGAAAATAAAGGGGAGGAAGGAATTTTTTACCAAATTTTAGACTAAATTATAAAATAGAAACAATTAAAATTATACAATACACATCAATGATTTATTAACATGAATGAAAAAGATTAAATTTTTTTAAATAAAATTTTAAATTTAAATCTTATAAATAAAAAAAAAAAATCTTAAAAGTATTTCTTTTTATATATCTGACGCAATTCAATCATGTATTAATGAGGTTTAATATAGCTTCTAATTGTGCATATCTTTATTTTTAGGTTGATGGTGATGTAGTAATGGAAGCGATTTTAACGGGAGAAGATCCAGGAAGAAGCTCCCTGCCTGCCAGGCCAGGTAATAAAGCAATTCTGAG